ACATTCTGAGCAGTAGTCATAGTAGGTTAGGTTCCTATACTATCCTAAGAATTATTGATTACCTACATGGCCAACATACCTTTCAGCATCTTTGGGAAGCGAAAAAAAAAGATAAATCCGGTAGATTACTTTTCGAATTTAAACACTTGAACGTCGCACAATATTTCTTTCTCTTTATGTCCATTTTTAAATAATACTTCGATCATAGAATTATAATCATACTACAACGCACGCCAACGTCCTGACGAGCGCGCGCGTGACACTCGACTGATATAATACCCGCCGGCGGGGCGCTTCGCTGTAGGTAATTATCGGATGTACCGCGCGGAGTGAGCCAGGCCTGGTTATGCATAAAAAAAACTACTTTCCTAGTGTAAAGTGCCCCTTACGTGGTATATTTTTTATTATTATCTTTGAAGTTTATAAGAGCCATAATACTTGTCAAAATTGAATAAAATATTTGATTTTAATTTTTTGATCTCGTTTTCTTGATTAAAGCATTAAAGATTGCTGGATAATAAAGTGGGTCGTGTAGTTACCAGGTGGCGCCCTGGCCTATTCAGTCGGCTGCGGCGCCAACTGGTGAACGCTGAAGGTGAGTACCCTTTTATTTGCTTTTAAAGGTCAAAGCAAGAACCTGTCACTCGCTAGCCCCAAGTCTTGGGGTAGCCTTTGTCCAGAAGTAGACGTCGTTTGGCTGAAATGATGACGATAGCCGTAGCTTCGTCTTCGCACACTCAGGTCTTTGTACTGGTGGATTAGAGGTAAGACTACCCTTTGTAGAATGTAGAAATCCTTGGAGTCCTTCGGCCAGAAGTAGACGTCGTTTGGCTGAAATGATGATAACAATAGCCCTAGCTTCGTCTTCGCACACTTAGGTCTCTGTGTACTGGTGGATCCAGGTACGACTGCCCTTAGTAGAAATCCTTGGAGTCCTTCGGCCAGAGATAGACGTCGTTTGGCTGAAATGATGATAACAATAGCCCTAGCTTCGTCTTCGCACTCAGGTCTCTGTACTGGTGGATCCAGGTACAACTGACCTTAGTAAAAATCCTTGAAGTCCTTCGGCCAGAAGGAAACGTCCTTTGGCTGAAATGATGCCTAGCTTCGTCTTCGCACACTCAGGTCTTTGTACTGGTGGATTCGAGCTATGACTACCCTTTGTAAAATGTAGAAATCCTTGGAATCCTGCGGCTAGATGTCGTTTGGCTGTAATGATGATAACAATAGCCCTAGCTTCGTCTTCGCACACTTAGGTCTCTGTACTGGTGGATCGAGGTACGACTGCCCTTAGTCCTTTGGCCAGAAGAGGAGGTATTTTGGCTGAAATGAAGCTGATAATACCACTAGCTTAGTTACTGTGCCCACCTGCCGTACTCCTGCCTGCCGACCGCGTACACTTGCCCGGCCGCGTCGAGCGCCAGCGAGTGGTGTATAGGCGTAAAAAAATACAATTTTCCGTCAGTCGTGGTCGTTAACTATTTCGCGGGAAGCACCTGAATACTTGGGAATGGCCGTTGGCTGAAATGGAGCTAATGATAAAGCCCAGTCTGTGAGCACGTAGAATTTTGTCCAATGACCCCAAAGCTACCCATCCTTATCGCTCGCGCGTAATTATATTGCTGTCGCGACTGTGCGACGGGCGCCCGCAGTGAGTGTGCGAGCGCGACAGCAATTACGGGCGAGTGATAAGGATGGGTAGTTTGGGGTCATTGGACAAAATTCTACGTGCTCACAGAGCACACTATAGCTCTATCTTCGTCGTCGCGCACCTGCCGTACTCCTGCCTGCCGACCGCGTACACTAGCCCGGCCGCGTCGAGCGCCAGCGAGTGGTGTTGTCCGCACGCCACCGCGCGCCAGCCCGCTTGCACGCAGCTGAACGCGTCGCATTCCGTCGGCGAGTATAGCGCCACTTTGCGCTTTTCGCCCGTTATACCTGGGGATTGAGGTTGATATAAATAAATAATCTATATACATATTATACAAAAATGAAACCCGTTTTCCGTTGTCACGACAACATGAAAACGGCTTGACCGATTTGGCTGATTTTTTTTTGTAGTTTTCTAATACTCTGTAAAAGGTTTTTACGGAAAAAAATATAAAGAAAATCTCTACGCCAAGGCGGTACGAAGTTCGCCGGGTCAGCTAGTAATAAATAAATAAATATCCTTGGACATTTTACACTGAGCTTCTAGTGCCAAACTAAGCAAAGCTTGTACTATGGGTACTAGACAACGGATATAAACATACTTAAATACTTTTTTTTAAGTTAGAGTGATTACAAATATGGACAGTCATAAAGTAATTTATTTTCTCAATTCTTTCTCTTTGTCATCATTTTTTTTACTTTACTCACATTTATACAAAGAAAATGATTTGATCAATAAAAGGGTTTTAAAAAGCGCTTTTACAAAAGTAGGTCAGATTTTTTTTGCTTAATTCAACCAATTTTCATTGCCAGTTGGCGCCTTAGTGAGAGGTAGATAGTCTTGCTTGCCAGTGGCGTCAACTAGTCTTGCACTTTTATAATAGACGTGCTATGCCATGGTTTATTTACTCAGTCGCCAATGGCGCCAACTGAAGAGTAGAATTTGTCACTCGGCGATGGCGCCAACTGGTAAGATGTTACTCGGTAATGGCGCCAACTGGTATGCAACGGCCCATGATTTGTCAATAGCGCCGACTGACGAGTTACATCCTGTCACTAAAAAAGCGCTAAGAAATAGTAAAGAAAAAGAAAGGAAGAGATTGCTTTGTGATAAGATAATGATAAGACCGCCTAAATTGTGTCGTATATCTAAACCGCTTAAGTTAGACGCTTGAAATTTGGCATGCAGGTACCTTAATAAACTTAAAGCTTAGTAGTTACAACAGGATATTGCAAAATTCCCACGGGAACGGGAGTTAGCGGGAAAAAACATTTGTATGAAAAAATCTAATATCCACGCGTACGAAGTCGCGGGCGGCCGCTAGTTTTGTATATTTTTTTTTTCCTTGTCTCGTGTGGTAAGGTGTGCTTTATCTGTCAAACTTATTCTATCATAATTACTTATCTAAGTGTTCCGTCAACTTACCCAGCTGTCCGTAGTTGTTGAGCCCCCACGCGAAGACTTTGTCGTTGGCGTCTAACGCAAAGGTGGCGTGGTAGCCCGCCCACACGCGCCGGGCGCCGCCCTTGAGTGTCACTTTCATTGGCACTAACAGCGCACCTGGGGATTTGAGGCTTATAATAATAAAAATAATAAATAATAAATCTTTGGACAATTTCACACAGCGCCAGCTAGCCCCAAAGTAAGCAACTTAATGCTTGTGTTATGGGTGCTAGCTTGACGGATACACTACTTATATACCTTTTTTTTGAATACATACATATTATACATAGTAACACCCAGACCCGTCACAGAAATTAAAATTCATCATTTCAATTTCTGCCCGGCCGGGAATCGAACCCGGGACCTCTCGGCATAGTAGTCCGTTCTGAACCACTACACCAAACGGCCGACATTATGTAGTTGGGATAATGACGATTTTGCAAAGACTGTGTCAGGCCTCATACGTGGTAGATTATACAAACTGTTATGTTAAACACTGGGCGTTTAAATAAGGAAGACTATTTATTATACGTATCATGTGTTAAACCATGTTAAAATGTATGAACTGTATTATGTATGTGACTTTGTTGGTGTACCTAATAAATAAATAAATAAATAAATAGCCAGTTGTCCTGCCGACTGTACATTTACAGTAAGGTCATATAAGAGAGGCGCTAGCAGCATACCTGCTAAACAGGCAATATTTATTTATTTTAAACTTGTATGTGTTACTGTAAAAGCTCGAACTACGGTTAATCTTAAGATTTAAGTGTAAGTCTTAGGATTTACCGACATGAGTTGGTAAATGTAAGTATTTCTGAAAATACGACAATTTTTTCGAGCTTTTACCATTCGAATTCAGTATATGCTAGGTTTTACCTCTGTCAGCTGGTAGATGTTGGTTTTAGGAATAAAACAATGAGTAATTCTTAATGGGGAATTATAAAACGATCAAATAAAAAATAACTTAGCGACTGATGATGACATAATGTTTTAATAACTTGAGCGGTATGAATTTGAGTAAGCGAAAAATTAACTTAAAGTAACTAACGACGAATATTGATTAATAATCAAATGCAGAACGAGCTTACTAAAAGTGGGTTATGTTCAATCCATTTTAGATATTAAAATTCTGTCCGTGCGACTACATTACTAAGTGAGCGACTAGAAATACAAAGAGGGCAACTTCAATATTAAGATAGATTCGATTTTTTCCAATTGAAGTAATTTCTGATGATGAGATGCCCTGAGCACGTTATGACATGTTTGGTTTTTAACATTTACCGTGCCATTAATGTAAATCCTAAGATTTACCAACGAAATGGTGGTAAGAGTTCGAATCGCAAACCTTTTGGGACATTTACCATTAGGAATTGGTAGATCTTAGGTTTTACTGGAATATCTTAGGATTTACTGCAATTCGAGCTTTTACAGTAACATATGCACATAAAACAGTGTACATAAGGCTAACATAGGCTTTCCCCAATGCTTTCCAAATCCACTTGTGGGAATATTGCGCAATTCGTTTATCCTCTTAAGAGCGTTTACGCCGATTGGCGCAAAAACAGTACTTTTTCAACTCGTTACAATCATTAACCAGTAATATTACAAATATGTTATAGGCATAAATAGTTAGGCAATTTCGTCGTCTAAATAGTTAATTGAGAAAATATTGCGATTAGTCTAGTATTTAAGAATTCTATCAAGATAAGTCCACACAGGTTTTGTAAATTTCCACTTTAGCGTCAGTTTACAAGCTGAATTTTTTATAAAAATACTGTGTAAACGATTTAACAAACATTTATATCCTATAGCATAGATCCTTGGGCAAATAGTTATCTGAGAAAATTTTTAGATTTAAGCATTTTACAATAAGAAATCACAAATTAAAAAAACGTGAAATACCCAAAAATCAAAGTTATTTTTACACCATTATTCTTCTTTAATTCAACATAAAAATAGCATAATATAATAAAATAACATCTTCTTTAAAATATTTACTTTGAAAAGATATATAATTCATTGTTATTGTTTTGCTATAAACATTTGGAAACTATTAAAAAACGCCGCGCGCGAATCATTTCCAATGATGCCCCTTGAAACGCCGCGCTTCGCGTAAACGCTCTTAACGAATTAAAGCCGTTGACATAGGTGAATAAATGACCAGTAGGTAGCAAGAAATAAGTAAACATAACGCATAGAACTCTGGAACATAGCTTTATGCGATAAAACCGCCAAAATTGTGTCGTATCTTTTGTATATTTCTTTCTCTTTCTTTTCTTGTATTGTGTGGCGTAATAAAGTATGTTCTATCTATATAGTATAACTTACTGAACCCCTGGCGCGCGTCTCGTGACGCGGAGCGCTGCGCCAAGCGGCCTAGTTGGCCCTGTTCACCGCAGCCCATCGTGTAGACAGAGCCTGATGACTGCAAAACAATTACTCATTAATTAATTTGCAACTAGGCAACTAGGTAGCTAAAGTCTGGTCCGTGAGCACGTAGAATTTTGTCCAATGACCCCAAGCTACCCATCCTTATCGCTCGCGCGTAATTATGTTACGGTCGCGCTCGCACACTCGCTGCGGGTGCCAGTCAGTCAGACAGTGCCACAGTCGCGACAGCAATATAATAACGCGCGAGCGATAAGGATGGGTAGCTTGGGGTCATTGGACAAAATTCTACGTGCTCACGGGCCGGGCTTTACCCCAACTGCGTTGTGTATTTAAATCTGAGGTGGAATTGTGTAATAAAGCAATCGTAATCATTTTGACAGTTCATAACGTACGATTATTCTGTCAAACGCTTTGCACCTTGTGGGTGGACGTCCCACGCTGCGTTTCCCGGTACGCGGCCTCCACTCCAGAACCTTGCTGCCCCATCGGCCGTCAGTTCTGCGTACTATGTGCCCTGCCCGTTGCCAATTCAGCTTGCTACCTACTCACCGACAGTATGACGAGGTGGTCCCCGCCCGAGGCGATGCCAACAGCCGTCTCCCCGATATGAACTTGCACGGGCTCCTTGCACGCCTTGCCTTCTCTCCCACGTACCACTAGCCCCATGCTCCCGTGGGAATCCTGGGACATCGTCACTCACCGACATACGGTCATACGACCAGGGATCCTGGACTCACCGACAGTATGACCAGGGATCCTGGACTCGCCGACAGTGTGACCAGGGACCCTGGGACGTCACTCACCGACAGTATGACCAGGGATCCTGAGACGTCACTCGCCGACAGTATGACCAGGGATCCTGGGACGTCACTCACCGACAGTATGACCAGGGATCCTGAGACGTCACTCACCGACAGTGTGGCCAGGGATCCTGGGACGTCCTCCACTGACAGTATGACCAGGGATCCAGGGACATCGTCACTCGCCGACAGTATGACCAGGGATCCTGGGACGTCACTCACCGACAGTATGACGAGGTGGTCCCCGCCCGAGGCGATGCCAACAGCCGTCTCCCCGATATGAACTTGCACGGGCTCCTTGCACGCCTTGCCTTCTCTCCCACGCACCACCAGCCCCATGCTCCCGTGGGAATCCTACGACAAAAGACACCATTGTTATTGACATGACCGACTAATATTTTATTCAATACTAGCGGCCGCCCGCGACTTCGTACGCGTGGATCCCGTTTTACCCCCTTCGTCTATATTACGCGGTTTAGATTTTTTCATACAAATGTTTTTTCCCGCTAACTCCCGTTCCCGTGGGAATTTTGCAATATCCTGTTGTAACTAAGCTTTAAGTTTACTAAGGTACAATTTTAAGCTTCTAACTTAAGCGGTTTAGATTTTTCATCCTAAAGGATTTTCCCGCTAACTCCCGTTTCCGTGGTAATTTTGCAATATCCTATTGTAACTAAGCTTTAAGTTTGCTAAGATACTTGCATGCCAAATTTCAAGCGTCTAACTTAAGCGGTTTAGATTTTTCATACAAAAGGATTTTTCCGCTAATTCCCGTTCCCGTGGGAATTCCTAAGTATCCTATAACCTGCCCAGGAGTATGAAGAATAATTGTACCAAATTTCGTCAAAATCCGTCGAATAGTTTTTGTTTCTATAATGAACATACAGACAGACAGACAAAAATTTTACTGATTGCATTTTTGGCATCAGTATCGATCACTAATCACCCCCTGATAGTTATTTTGAAGATATATTTAATGTACAGAATTGACCTCTCTACAGATTTATTATAAGTATAGACTAGCAGAGTAAATACAAATGAGTAGGTCATCTTCATAGAAACGCCCGAGCGCGGTTTGTATGTGAGCGCGCCAATACGTATGCGGCGCGCACGCACACACTGACAAAATTTAGCGTTGATTAGCGGTGAGGTGCGCTGAATTTTGTCATTTGTATTTACTCTGATACTAGCTTTTCGCCCGCGTGGAATTTTGTGTGTCACAGAAGAACTTTATCGCGCGAGTCCCTGTTTCAAAAACCGGGATAAAAACTATCCTATGTCCTTTCCCGGGACTCAAACTATCTCTATACCAAATTTCACCAAAATCAGTTCAGTGGTTTAGGCGTGAAAGCGAGACAGACAGACAGAGTTACTTTCGCATTTATAATATTAGTATAGTTGTACTAGCTTTTAGCAGTTGGCAGTTGACAGATCGTTATAAACCGTGGCTTTCTAAACGTGCGTCGAAAAGATGGCAATACCAGGGGCGTCACAGTAAAAATACTAGAAAGGCTTGGTATAAACGATAATGCTGTAAAGTATCAGCAAAATCCATTCAATAGCTCGTGAAAAAGTAACAAACATACATACAAAAATATCATCACCAACTTTTTACAATCGATTGTTAGTAGTTACATAAGACATGGTTATAAAATTTAGAGCTAGATTGACAATCTAATAGTACTTATACACACAGCATGACAAATAGCAACACAGTTTAAACATTTTATTTTAAAACATAATAATTATACCTATACAAACAGTATGAATAGCGACACAAGTTTGAACAATGTCGATTAAAACTTAATTTTTATTTATACACACATGACAAATAGCGTCACAGAGTTTTAACAATATTTTAAAACCTAGTTATAAATACACACAGTATGACAAATAGAGACACAGAATCAGTTATGACAATAAGAATTTAAACCCTAGTTATACCATACACACAACATGATATACAGGGTGTTAGGTAAATGGGTATATGAGCCGACACTAGCCCATGTTAACATGGTCATATAAAAGGTATGGTGAAGTCAGAAATTTGATATCATCATTTTATTTTTTTAAATTTTCATACAAAATAAATTTTATGAAATCCGATTTGTATCAAAATTAAAATAATTAAAACGAAGATATCAATTTTCTGACTTCACCATACCATTTATATGACCATGTTAACATAGGCTAGTGTCGGCTCATATACCCATTTACCTAACACCCTGTATAGTTACATAGTTTTAACAATATTATTTTAAATAATACCGATCACAGCATGATAAATAGCAACACGAAGAATATTATTCTAAAATCAAAATATACCTATTCAAAAAGTATATAAAAAAAACGACACAGTTTTAACGATATTATTTTAAAGCCTAACACACACTGCACAAAAAATAGGGATACCAAGATCAAAAGATATATTCGTACAGATAAATACAGCTTGAATAAAAAAGTTAACGACCGAAAAAACAACAAATCTTTTCACTATACAGGGTGTTAGGTAAATGGGTATATGAGCCGACACTAGCCCATGTTAACATGGTCATATAAATGGTACGGTGAAGTCAGAAAATTGATATCTTCATTTTAATTATTTTATTTTTCAAACAAATCGGATTTTATAAAATTAATTTTGTATGAAAATTAAAAAAATTAAAATGATGATATCAAATTTCTCACTTCACCATACCATTTATATGACGATGTTAACATGGGCTAGTGTCGGCTCATATACCCATTTACCTAACACCCTGTATAAACTTATACACTCTATAAGTTTTTTTTTCTTTCACTGCGGCAACTAACTCGCTTGGCGCCCAAGGTCGTTCGCTCGTTCTGCTGATCGGAAGCTGCGGCCTTACGAGATACGGATGACGTGGAAACACCACAACCGTCCACTTCGCCTGTATCCCGCAGAGCAACAACTTACGAGGCTTTTGTTTCCAGAGCGCGAAGACTTACGAGGCTCCTTTTCTTCCATCTTGCTCTTCTGATGTCGCATGTTGATCGGAAGCTGCGGCCTTACGAGATACAGATGACGTGGAAACACCACAATCGTCCACTTCGCCTGTATCCCGCAGAGCAACAACTTACGAGGCTTCTTTTGATTCCAGTGCGCGAAGACTTACGAGGCTCCTTTTCTTCCATCAGCGGTATCTTGCTCTTCTGGTGTCGCTTGGAAGCTGCGGCCTTACGAGATACAGATGACGTGGAAACACCACAACCGTCCACTTCGCCTGTATCCCGCAGAGCAACAACTTACGAGGCTTTTGTTTCCAGAGCGCGAGGACTTACGAGGCTCCTTTTCTTCCATCAGCGCGCGGCGTGCGGTATCTTGCTCTTCTGGTGTCGCTTTGAAGCTGCGGCCTTACGAGATACAGATGACGTGGAAACACCACAACCGTCCACTTCGCCTGTATCCCGCAGAGCAACAACTTACGAGGCTCCTTTTCTTCCATCAGCGGTATCTTGCTCTTCTGGTGTCGCTTGGAAGCTGCGGCCTTACGAGATACAGATGACGTGGAAACACCACAATCGTCCACTTCGCCTGTATCCCGCAGAGCAACAACTTACGAGGCTTGGGCGGCAATACATCCACGGCGGTAATTCAGTCGAATGGCGCCCATGACATATACGTCACACGTATCCAGGTTGGGGGTATACTTTCCCAAATAGCTTTGCCAACAACATGATCATTATAAACAAGCAATGCACAAAATGATGACAAGACCAAAAGATATAGTAAAATACATAAGTACAGTCTGTACATACAGCTTACATAACAACGGTAACGGCTGAAAACATAACAATTGTCAGTGTCTTCTGTGCTGTCTTCTTGCTCTTCTGATGTTGCTTGTTGATTGGAAGCTGCGGCCTTACGAGATACAGATGACGTGGAAACACAACAATCGTCCACTTCGCCTGTATCCCGCAGAGCAACAACTTACTAGGCTTCGGAATTTTCCAGGCTGTAGTAATTTACACACACAACAATCGTTGTCTAGAATCCTATACACCTTATCATATAAATCGTATAACAATGTGATAAAAATACATTTAAATAATGCATAGTAAACAATGATCCCACCAAAAACATTCTGTAAAAACTAGCCAAGTCTCGATGGAGCTGCTTGTTTATCTCTAAAAAGTAATGAAATCTAGACAAAGTCGTGCCAAGTCTATGGTTCCTTACTGCGATTTCTTTATTATTATAGTTAATGTTGTGTGACTTGGCCGTTGAACAATCTTTATTAAGATAATCATACAATAAGTATTATTGCAATACGCAGCTTTATTAAGCCTACAATTGACTGGTTATTGAATCAACGTTTTCCAAGTGGCAATTTTCCATCGCCAATGGGTAGCGGTTCTGGCGACAGATTGGTGCAATGGTGTCATGGATTACCTGGTTTTGTACCCTTCAACGGCCAAGTCACACAACATTAACTATAATAATAAAGAAATCGCAGTAAGGAACCATAGACTTGGCACGACTTTGTCTAGATTTCATTACTTTTTAGAGATAAACAAGCAGCTCCATCGAGACTTGGCTAGTTTTTAGAGGTCAATTCTGTACATGAAATATATTTTCAAAATAACTATCAGGGGGTGATTAGTGATCGATACTGATGCCAAAAATGCAATCAGTAAAATTTTTGTCTGTCTGTCTGTCTGTCTGTCTGTCTGTCTGTCTGTATGTTCCTTATAGAAACAAAAACTACTCGACGGATTTTAACGAAACTTGGTACAATTATTCTTCATACTCCTGGGCAGGTTATAGGATACTTAGGAATTCCCACGGTAATAGGAATTAGCGGGAAAATCCTTTTGTATGAAAAATCTAAACCGCTTAAGTTAGACGCTTGAAATTTGGCATGTAGGTACCTTAGTAAACTTAAAGCTTAGTTACAACAAGAAATTCCCGAAATTCCAACGGGAACGGGAATAAGCGGGAAAATCCTTTTGTATGAAAAATCTAAACCGCTTAAGTTAGACGCTTGAAATTTGGCATGCAGGTACCTTAGTAAACTTAAAGCTTAGTTACAACAGGATATTTCAAAATTCCCACGGGAACGGGAGTTAGCGGAAACAAACATTTGTATGAAAATATCAAAACCGCGTAAGATAGATGAAGGGGGTAAAACAGGATCCACGCGTACGAAGTCGCGGGCGGCCGCTAGTATCTACTAAATGGAACCTAAAACGTTCTCGAGTCAAAAGTCGAACTTGCTTTAGGAACTAAACCACGATGTAGAATTTATTCTACAGATTAAAGAATTTAAGTACAGAACTGTACTTACTGTGAGACTGACTGGGTATTTTATACCGAGAAAAAAACCCAACATTAATATTTATGACGTAGACCAAAAACAAATTATCGAAGTAAGCTGGTACAGCAAGGTACTCAAATGGAACCATCCCTATTCCAAAGCCCGTAATTTTGTTATTTACATACATATTGGCTGGTTAATGTTAATTTCGTCAGGACATGGAAATTCCAAGTGAGGCTTTTACAGTTTTTTGACGAAAATTAAAAATGGTTTCAAAATAATTTCGACTAACTTTACGTGTAAAGGCTTTATTAATCTAAGGTGTAAAGTCGCAGTTTACTTACATTAAATAAAAAATGTATGAAAATTTTAGTTTTTGAACGTTTCCCGCTAGGGGCGCTCTGTACTCCGTCATACATTTTAATGTAATTTTTTGGACGTGCTCACTAGTAAAAACTCACACTAGGCCTTCAGGCCCTCCTAAAAATGACCCTAGATATGTCAATGGCGATCTTTATTATTATGAACTTGGCTTGACACTCTGCCGCGTGTCTAGATAAGCTTTTCTTTCGACAAAGGACACCTTCAGTCTTCCACTTATCCCGTCTCTTGTAATTCTAATCGAATCGAAATAGATAGAAGAGTAGCTAACACCTGGAAAAGATTTTGGTCTCTACACGAAGTTCTTAATGAAAATATGTACCTATAACTAGCTTTGGCCCGCGGCTTCACCCGCGTGATATTTCGTTCGTCATAGATCGTCATAAATTATAGCCTATATGTTAATCTGGGTTATAAACAATAATACTGTAAAGTTTCATCAAAATCCGTTCAGTAGTTTTTGCGTTAAAGAGTAACAAACATCCAGACATCCAAACTTTCACATTTATAACCTCCTTCGTTAAAAAAAAATATTTCGCATTCGTCACTGTTCGTCACCTCGAAGAATGGGAAGGGTATGTAAGTACGTAATGATTACAGCGAGAGAAGTAGCGACATCTATGTTACACTCATGTAGTTCTACTAAAGAGCAAACAAGAAGGTACGTTCTTTAGTTATAGATGTCGCTGTGTGTTTGCAGTTTATTGATGTTTAGAATAATTTTAATTGACATAGAAAATGTAAAAAAATATTTTTAATGTACTCTCTAACTTAACCTGTTACTCATAGAACATTACTCATGAGGTGATCTTCCATTGCATTTGATTTGTTTATGTGACCATAGACAATAATCATATCCTGTGTTATTTTAATATACTATGACCTCGGCAGAGGTCGCTAGCCACGCTCTTGGGTAGTGGCTTAGAAAAATTACCCATAAAATTGGGGTANAGAGTCACATCTATTGAAAGAAAGAAATAAAACAAGCCTTCGATATAGTTTAGGTAGATGACGCTGTTTAACATAAACTAACGCGCCTTTTAGAGATGACGGCGCCTCTACCATATACGTCATCCGTATTCAGGATGGTGACGTACTTTCCAGAACGTTTCCTACCCCGTCTAACGGCTACGGCGGCAACTCACTCGAAAGGCGCCTCTTCCATATACGTCATTAGTATCTACAGTAATTGGAGCGTGATTTCCAAGCTATTTCCTGGTCTAAACACTCAACACACCCTAAATACGCCCCAGGCATAAACATTGAGTGCCCAACAGGGCTGTAGTTTGGGTCCTCTGCGTGACTTAATCTATCTAGAAAAGCGAAAGGTCACTGATTGACTGACTCACTCATCACGAAATCTCAGAAACTACAAGTGCTAGTCTCAAATTTTGGATGGGGGTTCCTTTTAGAACGTAGGTGCTCACTAAGACGGGATTTTGCAAAATTCAGCCCCTGAGGGAGTACGAACGCGTACGAAGTTCCGGGCGGCCGTTAGTTAGGGGTAAATAGGGGGTAACAAATTGGTAGGATTTGATGAATGCTGCTGACAATGCCACTCTTGTGGCGGAGTTTTGGGCTGAAACTGTTTAGGTTTGTTGTCGACACGAAAAGAAGAAGAAGAATTGGTTCGTTTCAGCCGAAAGACGTCCACTGCTGGACAAAGGCCTCCCCCAAGGATTTCCACAAAGACCGGTCCTGCGCCGCTTGCATCCAGGTACCTCCCGCGACCTTCACCAGATCGTCGGTCCACCTAGTGGGAGGCCTGCCCACGCTACGTCTTCCAGCTCGTGGTCGCCACTCAAGAACTTTCCTGCCCCAGCGGCCATCAGCTCTTCGAGCTATGTGCCCCGCCCACTGCCACTTGATTTTAGCGATTCTGCTGGCTATGTCAGTCACTCTGGTTCTCCTACGGATCTCCTCATTTCTGATTCGATCACGCAGGGAAACTCCGAGCATAAAAAGAAAGAAAGATAGAAAGAAACATTTATTGCCATGGACATCACAGAAGACAAAAGATGTAAATAATAGAAAAAAGTAAATAAGACATAGGTGACATAAAACATACAATGAAAGTGAAAGTAAAACTGAGCAGTGCCACCCTGTCGCACAGCGATGTCCATCGCAATGGGACCCCACTCAGCATATGCCATGGCCCCCGGTGAGGGAGGCCACGACGCTGGTTTTCAGTGTGCCCCATGCCGAGTGGGAGTCACGGACACTAACCTATACTGCATAAAATATACATACATAAATAAGAATAATAATATAGCATAGCACGCTCCATCGCTCTTTGGGTGACCTTGAGCCTTCTTATGAGGCCCATAGTAAGCGACCACGTCTCAGATCAGACAGAAGAATTGGTAACTCACCCTAAATGCGCCCCAGGCATAGACGTCTCCAGTTTCCAACAACGCAGCGGAATGCGAGTCTCCTGCGGCGATGGCCACAGCTCGGGCTGGTAGGGACGTTGCTTTGGGCGTGCCTTCATCCTGCTCGCCTGATGTCGCTCGTCCTAGGGCTCCCTCGTCGTTGCAGCCGAATGTCCACACCTGGAGACAAGTCCCAATTTTAGAAAGAAAATTGAAATATTCTGAGTGGAGGCCGCGTACCGGAAAACGCAGCGTGGTACGTCCACCCACAAGGCTAACCGACGACATCATAAAGGAAGGCGCCAAAGACCAATCGATAAACATGGAAATGATTGGGGGAAGCCTATTTTCAACAGTGGACGTCCTATGGCTGAAATGATGATGATTTATTGCAATGAACATAATAAAGATAGCAGGATAAGGCGCTGGGTGCAGGCCGCTACCAACCGGGCGATGTGGAAATCATTGGGGGAGGCCTATGTTCAGCAGAGGACGTCCTGTGGCTGAAATGATGATGAATAAACATCACACAAAGACAAAAAAGGCAATAGTAGCACTTAAAACATTACAAAGGAAGGGAAAGTGCACTGATCAATGGTACCCTGTGGCAACAGCGATGCTCATTACAATGGGCCGTGGCCCACGGTGACGAAGGCCACGACGCTGGTTTTCAGTGTGCCCCATACAGATTATAAGCCCGGTTTTCACTAAAGGAGAGACGTGTTGAATAGCTAATCAGATTTCGTTACTGCCAAATCGCCTCTCCGCTCCGTTTCAGTTCAGAAATCGGAATGGTTATTCAAACGCATTTTCTCTCCGCTTTGGTGGAAATCGGGTTTTACTAATGGTTGCCATCTACACCAGCCGGCCTAGGAAGCGCTCCACGATATAATCTTATCGACGATTTTTGACGACAAATGAAGTGTGAGGTACGTACCTACTGCTATGATGGTTGAGTGATACGCAGGCACTGTTTAGCAATACTTGTTACTCCAAAAACTAAGCTATTACAATAAATAACTTAATAATTTTGCAAAACGGCAGACGATGTATCGTGCCTTCAAAAGCGTCGAGTCATCGGGGCCGGCCGGCAAGGAAACCAATCGGCAAGTTAGGGGACCGATCGGGAACGTTCGGAAACGCTCGGCTTTCGTCTGGCCGTATCGATCGGTCTAAGCCAGACATGCGCAGAAGTTCAGAAGGGTTACTCCGGTCGCTATGCAAAATTTCGAATGTTGCCATGATTGCTATCCCTTTCTCGCAAAGAGAGATACCAGCATGAGCGATGGTGACAGGAGAACCGAAACTACGTCGATAAAATGGGCGTTTGGCCGAAAATATAATTTGTTAGAAATTGTAAGCAAATGGCGATCGCCATGGCAACCGCCGAAAACTTCAGCTAGCTGGAAAGAAGTTAAGATGGTACTTGTTGCTACGGGGTTGTTGTTACTTGTTGCGCGTTACAAACTGTTAAAAATAGGTTTAGCGAGGATTCCCTCTGTTTCCCCATGATGAATTTTGACTTGCAACATGAACTCTGCCACATTCTCATAAATAACATTTAATAAAATAATCTTCTAATATCGCAATTTACATAAAAAGAAAAAAGTCGCTCGGTGGTCCGATAAAAATTACTTGCATAATGACTGTCCCTTGATTTAAATTCTTTAGATTCATGATATGTTGCATTATGAAAGGTTTATACAACTCAAGTGTATAGTTTTTACATTAATACGTTTTTGTTATATCACAAACTTAGCTTAGCAGTAAGTGAGAGAACAATTTTTGATTTCAGTTAAAGTGGGCTCAACTTATATTTTTCTGAACCTTGACTTGCAGAAACAGTGACAAAATAGTCTAACAAAGAATTTGACGAATATTGCCCAACGAGGCAATTACCTATAGGTAGCGTAGGTGTTATCTTTAAAACGCATTAGTATTTAGTTTGACACAATTTAACAGTGATAAAAAAATTGCATGTAGTTACAAAAACCACTGTACTTTTAACACAGCGATCTTAACAAGTATATTAAGTAGTTTCTTGCGCTGCTTCTTCTCAGCACTGGCCCATTTATTGTCATGAAGCAGTGGTAGGGTTTATACTGGGACGTGTAAAAGTGCTTTTTAAAAGCCTACTTGCATAAATAAATGCGTTTTTTACGAGTTGCAGGAGGAGCTATTTTGCGATAAAATGTATAATCTGGTGTGATGTGGCCTGTACATTATTATTCTATGTATCCTACATTTTGTTATCAGTTTAACAAGTGAATAACTTACCTTGCCGTCGCTGTCGAGTGCAATAGTGTGCATGCCTCCCGCGCGAACGTCGACGATTTTGTTTCCCAAGGCTGATACATATTTGAATCTGCAACAACATAAATAAAATTAGTATATTTATTTATCAGTTTTCTTGAGACATCTTCAATCTAAATCGAGGCCATTTTAACTGTCTTTACTTTAAAAAGACCCCTTTAAATAGACTATCCATATAATAGAATATTTATTGATTCATCATCATCTCAGCCATAGGACGTCCACAGCTGAACATAGGCCTCCCCCAATGATTTCCACAATGGCCGGTTGGCGGATTAGCAAGCTGAAGTGGCAATGGGCAGGGCATAATAGTACGCACAACTGACGGCCGATGGTGCAGCAAGGTTCTGGAGTTGAGGCCACGTATCGGAAAGCGCAGCGTAGAACGTCCACTTAAAAGGTTATTGATTAGTTATTAAAATCCCAACTTAATATTATAAATGCGAAAGTAACTCTGTCTGTCTGTCTGTCTGTTACGCTTTCCCGCTTAAACCTCGCAACCGATTTTGATGAAATTTGGCATAGAGATAGTTTGAGTCCCGGGAAAGAACATAGGATAGTTTTTATCCCGGTTTTTGAAACAGGGACGCGCGCGATAAAGTTTTTCTGTGACAGACAAAATTCCACGCGGGCGAAGCCGCGGGCGGAAAGCTAGTACTTAATAAATTACAATTTTCAAGCGCCGCCATTTTGACTGTCTAAACTCTAGAAAGAACCTTTATATAGACTGACAAATCCACTGCCTGCTGCTTTCTTTCCGGAGCATTATAATACGGGCTTCTTCGAGGAGTGAATAGGCTACAGGGCGTACAGATAGGTACTACCCTAGACTGCATTTCAGTTTCAGGTGTGAATGCAGTCAAATAAAAAAAAATTTTCAATTCGCATGGCGGCCATTTTGACTGGCTAAAATCTAGTAAGAACCCTTTACGATGTCTGCCTATACAAATTAGGGGTTTTGATAGACTGGAAAATTATTTCGGAGTTAAAAACGTCACTTTTGAAATTATAGATGACCCACGCTGAACTGTCCCGCCAAACTCAATGACAGGGGGGCGCTACCATCGTTCAACTATATGGTTTCCAACATGGCAAAAATCTGAACCAGCGATCCGGTATTGACGGTGGCGCCCCACTGTCAATGTCATCGACAGGACAGTCCAGTATTTTGGAACTATAGTAAACGTGTCCTCGCCGGAAATATGCTGTTTTCGGCGGTTGCCATGGCGATCGCCATTTTGCTAACACTTTATAAAAAAATATATTTTCGGCCAAACGCCCCCAACCAATTTAGACGATAATGGATAGTACCTACTATCNAGATACCACCATGAGCGATCGTGACAGGAGAACCGAAACTACGTCGATAAAATGGGGGCGTTTGGCCGAAAATATAATTTGTTAGAAATTGTAAGCAAATGGCGATCGCCATGGCAATCGCCGAAAACTTCAGCTAGCTGGAAAGAAGTTAAGATGGTACTTGTTGCTACGGGGTTGTTGTTACTTGTTGCGCGTTACAAACTGTTAAAAATAGGTTTAGCGAGGATTCCCCCTGTTTCCCCGTGATGAATTGACGGACTAACTCTGCCACATTCTAATAAATAAAATTTCATAAGAATTACATTTTCGCATTTAGTTTTCCGACAAAGAAATGTAGGTACCCTTCTACTACGAGTTACTTGGTTACTAACTGTCCCTAGATTTATATTCTTTAGATTCATGACATGTCGCAAGGTTTATACAATTAAGTTTGTAGTTTTTATATTTTTCTAAACCAAGACTTAAAATGAGATAGGTATGGGTAGTGAAGATACCTCAGTGCACGAAACTAACAAGCACTATAAATATTGCTTTGCTTAAAGAGGCAATAAGTTGTAGAAAATCTTTCGTAAAAAGTGTGCCCCCTCTCCTTCATGACGATCGGTCAAAAGAGAGATGCAGGTTATGGCGTGAGAGCTGATCTCCCCTGCCCTTTTGTCCCTATGTATGAGATTCCTCCACCTGGACATGAGCTCCCCTGGCCTACCTGGAAGTCTTTAAATAGACTTCGGACCCAGGTCGGGCTTAGTAAGGACAATCTGTTCAGGTGGGGATTCTTGGATGGCTCAAACTTGGAGTGCAAGTGTTTTGTTCAGTCGACGAAGCACATGATGTCGTGCCCTGCGTGCCCAAACATCTGCACGAAGGAAGATTTAATGAAGGCTACTGACAACGCCATTCTTGTGGCGGAGTTTTGGGCTGACGCTGTGCAGGTTTGTTGTCAACACGATAAGAAGTTGTAGGTAGCGTAGGTGTTATCTTTAAAAATGCATTCGTAATTTGACACAATTTAACTTAGTGATAAAAAAATTGCATAGACAAGAGCACAGCTATCTAAACAAGTATTTTAAGTAGTTGTAAAAATGCTATGCCACAAAAATGTAGGTACAGTCTATGTGATGTGGACATTATTATTCTATGTGTCTTACATTTTGTTATCAGTCAGTTTAACATGTCATGTAAATAGCTTACCTTGCCGTCGCTGTCGAGTGCAATAGTGTGCATGCCTCCCGCTCGAACGTCGACGATTTTGTTGCCCAAGGCTGATACATATTTGAATCTGCAACAACATAAATAAAATTAGTATATTTATTTATCAGTTTTATTGAAACACTTCTTCAATCTAAATCGAGGCCATTTTGACTGTCTTAACTTTAAAAAGAACCCTATTATAGATTCCTGCCTATACAAATAATGTAAAATTAGTATATTTATTGATTCATCATCATTTCAGCCATAGGACATCCACAGCTGAACATAGGCCTCCCCCAATGATTTCCACAATGGCCGGTTGGCGGATTAGCAAGCTGAAGTGGCAATGGGCAGGGCATATAGTACCGGAAAACGCAGCGTGGGACGTCCACCCACAAGGTGGACCAACGACATCATAAAGGTAGCAAGAAGACACTGGACGCAGGCCGCTACCAACCGGGCAACATGGAAAGCATTGGGGGAGGCCTATGTTCAGCAGTGGACGTCCTATGGCTGACATGATGATGACTTAGTAAATTACAACTTTCAAGTCACAGCGCCGCCATTTTGACTGTCTAAATTTAGAAAGAACCCTATAATAGATTGGCAAATCCACTGCTGCCGTCTTTCCCGAACACTATAATCCGGGCTTCTTCAAGGAGTGAATAGACTACAAAGCACGTATGTACAATACTAGATTGCATTTCACTTAACATAAGGTGTGAATGCAGTCAAATTAAAAATTAATTTTCAATTCGCATCGCGGCCATTTTGACTGGCTAAAATTTAGCAAGAACCCTTTAATGGACGGATGCCTGTACAAATGACGAATTTTGATTATTCTTGAAAATTCCTGGATAATTATTCTTGAGTTAAAAATATCTTCCAGCTGGGCTAGGATAGGATGCGCGAGATCATAAAATAGCATTGTTAGCGCTAGTAAGAAAAATAGCGTCCTTTTAAAGAGCTATTACTAAAAAAATTTATGGGAAAACGTCACTTTTGAAGTTAGCAAACGTGTCCTCGCCGGAAACATGCTGTTTTCGGCGGTTGCCATGGCGATCGCCATTTTGCTAACACTTTCTAAAAAAATACATTTTCGGCCAAACGCCTCCAATCAATTTAGACGATGATAGATAGACAATACCATTATAAGTAGTAATTGTACACCACACAAAGAAGAGAAGAAAGAAATATACAAAAGAGAGAAATATACATTTCTTTAAAATCGATAAAATTCTTCGATAAAAGTTTATCGTGGCTTTAATATGTATCATATAATAGTATAGGTGATCTCAATACGTTTTGAAAGAGCACACTTACTTGGGAATATCCCAACACCAGAATCAATACTTACCGGCAATTTTTTGCACCTGGCGGCTAAGGTGCACACGTGCAAACATCAAGCTTCTATCCTGGCCAGTGTGGGGATTGTAGGCTAAATTCTCCATTTGTCTTTTAAAGTTTAGCTTTATAGTGGAAACTAAATAAACTGTGGGTTTTACCCATATAAAATAGTTAATTACGGAAAAGACGAGCCCCTAAGCAGCTCGACTGTCGAATGAGGAATATGTCGTGGCAGGATTATTGATTTTCAGGAACAGCCGAAAAGACCCGAATGTTTCCGAAAGGGGTGACGGCACGCATGCGCCAAACATAGGTTTTACCCTCGGATTGGGGGTGGTCCATTTAGGGTGACTCCACACGTTGGATCCAATGTTGGTCCCTATGCCACTAGACCAACGTGCGGATCTAGTGGCGCAGTTACACTATGCGCGAAATTGATCGAATCAGATAAATAAAAAAAAAAATTATTCACCATAACAAAAATATGTGCCTAAGGGGCAACTTTGGTATAAAACAAAAAGAGATTTAATTTCCCACCTCTTCATAGTAATTTCAATACTTTTTGTTAAGCCAAAGCAAAGGGCTAAAGTAACCCGCATCTACACGGTAGTGTAAACATGTAATTCAGTCCGTTTTGCCGTGGGTCGCTCATACTTCGGTGCTTTTCGCGCTTCTATTCGATGAATTACGCAAGGTAACTGCGCAGTAGAAAAATATTTTGTTCCAACGTTTGGTGCCAATACTCTACATTCACACGTAGGACGAGTGGCGTAACGTTGGGACCAACGTTTGGAGACGCCCTTACACTGTATGTAGGGTTTTCCTAAGTTTATGTATTTATTCGCGCTAGTCGAGAATTTTAGTCGAGTGAGTGGCGAGTAATTTAGTCAACATGCAAAAATAAAATGAGTTTTTTATGAGTTTTAGGCGAGAAGTGCCATCAACCACAACGCGTCCCTGCTCACTCGAGTTCGAAACGGCCGTTTTAGTCGAGTTCGAGAAAAATACTAATCAGTAAAGGACGAATGGTTTATGAAATATGAAAAAGACTACAAGAGCCGGCACAGACCTGACGATAATCTGAAAATCTTTGTATTTTTGTGGCCCCCATCCATAATGCGAATCCTCAAATTCAAAGTATTAATTGCATGTTATATTTACAAATAAAAGGTGTTATTTATTTGAGCAAAAAAATTCTGTCATTGTAATTTTGCAAATAGGGGTTTGGAATCAAATCAAGGTTGTGCGTCCACGCGCACTGTGAGACCTCATAGTAATGTTTAGGTATACGTACGTTAGACAATACAAATGCCTAGACATTTGTCTAGAATTTATTTTCCAAATTATTGACCTCCGAGACACCGCACGCTTTCAAAATGGAAGAATGACGTCATGCGATGTTATTGTGATGACGTCATAGTTTGCAACAAACATTTCCGTTCTCAATTTAATCATCTGACAAACATACTGACTGATCATTTGGGAAAAATATGAGCTCCATTCAGAAAAAACATAATATACTCTGTCCATTGATAGTAGTTGGTCTAACCACAGAATAATAATAAGTACTACGTACAGAAGTTTTACTTCGCGAAGGTATTTAAAAAAAAATATGCTCAATGTCATTAACAATATGGTGTAATTTAGCCTGTCTCAAGAGTCAAGCACCATTTTGTTGACAAACGTCAGTGATCGGCAGTGCGCCGAAGCTATAGGGCTGACTTCGGTAAAATGATGTGACGTGAGGTGCTAAACTGCGGAAAATGGCGGAGGAAATACATGATTTAGCATGAATTACCATGAATAATATTTACTACTTATTTACCTCTCAGTGTCTTGGGGCAACTTAAAAAAGTACATTCTGTGTTTTTATTATTATTTAGGCAGTTAAATACTGCACAGTATTTAGCACACCATTTTCTTTATTTTCTTCCATCAAACACAAGAATACGCGTGCGTGAGTCAATGTTCGCTCGTATGTGAGGCCTTGTCGAATAGTATCCTGTAGGTGGGCCATCGTGCGTGTTTTGTTTTCGATGTAAACTCGCGGAGATGAACAGGCTTGGTCTAACAAAACATCAACACTCACAATGGACAAGCAGTGTGCCAAGTGTAATTGGAATCCACAAAAAATATTGATCAATACTTTTAGTACATTTTTTAAAATCTTTTCTATCATACTATTAGTCAGAAGACTATTGACACATTAATTGTTCTAGGATAATAGTCTATGGCAGGGGTGGCCAAACTTTTGGCCTGTGAGGTCTACTTATGCTCGAAAATATTTCTTTCGGTCGACTGCAACAGTTTAGAAGAATGAAATAAATCATTTTTCATTTTCAATCATTCTGTTCAGTTTATTTAACTCTCGCGGGCTACCAAAATCGTTCGAGGTTGACCGGTAGACCACGGTCGACCTCTTGGCCATCACTGGTTTATGGTGATTGATTTATAGGATTTTTTCAAGATTTTTTTCCAATCCTATCGATCAGTCCGAAGACTGAACAGATTTTTTCTTGTGATTACAGGAGTTTTTCAAGTTATTAAAAGAATAATAACATACCTGGATGTTTCTTCAACTCCTTCGCCGAGACCCAGCTGGCCCACGTCTCCTTGCCCGCACACTAGCACGCGGCCTCTCCGCTTGGGAGCCTCGGGGATCTCCAACTGGATCGCTGAAACATTAACGTCTGTTTAGATTCTCCACTCAAGCACAGAATAATAATAAATACTACGTACAGAAGTTTTACTTCGCGAAGGTATTTAAAAAAATGTATGCTCAATGTCATTAACAATATGGTGTAATTTAGCCTGTCTCAAGAGTCAAGCACCATTTTGTTGACAAACTTCAGTGATCGGCACTGCGCCGAAGCTATAGGGCTGACTTCGGTAAAATGATGTGACGTGAGGTGCCAAACTGCGGAAAATGGCGGAGGAAATACATAATTTAGCATGAATTACCATGAATAATATTAACTACTTATTTACCTCTCAGTGGCTTGAGGCAACTTAAAAAAGTACATTCTGTGTTTTTATTATTATTTAGGCANAAACTGCGGAAAATGGCGGAGGAAATACATAATTTAGCATGAATTACCATGAATAATATTAACTACTTATTTACCTCTCAGTGGCTTGAGGCAACTTAAAAAAGTACATTCTGTGTTTTTATTATTATTTAGGCAGGTTTCTTCCATCATACACAAGAATACGCGTGCATGAGTCAATGCTCGCTCGTATGTGAGGCCTTGTCGAATAGTATCCTGTAGGTGGGCCATCGTGCGTGTTTTGTTTTCGATGATGAACAGGCCTGACTCAAGTTACAAGTCTAGTGCTTAACTCAGAGCCTGAGGTATGGGATGGGTGACATTGACATATTGTGAATTGAATGTAATTCTGAAGATCTGAAGTATCACTGACATTATAAAAACACCTCCCATACATCAGGCACTGATTAGGTACTGGTAGGGTAAAAAGATTATGAGACATGTAGAGGCTCCTTAAGAGCAAAATGACGATTTGTAAGAACTATTTATTAGTCTAAAGAAATAAAGAAATTTTGACTTTTGACTTTATTGAGTCAAGCGCTATACCTATAGTTATTTATTTATGAACTAACTACTGTTAACTACGTCAAAAAATGTGTGTATTGTATGTGACTTTGTTGGTGTAAAAAATATAGTTCAAGAAAACGTAAAAAAAACTACTTATAAAAATTTTAGTTTTAAAAACACAATGAAAGATTTTTGACAACGGTAATAAATAAAGAGGAAAGTTTGCTTGTTTATATTGAATAGGGTCCGAAACTACTGGACCGATTTTATAAATTCACCATAGGAATCCTAAATTATTTCCAATGAATATAGGTGGTACGAGGTTTGCCAGGCCATGTAGTATTTAATAGTTACATCTCAACATTCTCTACTCAGACACAACATAATACTGGTTTATCCGATCTCACTGTAGCTCAGGGGACAAAGAAATAGCTCAATAATGAGGGCTATCGTTTTAGCGCTTACCAGTTAGCGCCACTGTAGAGTAAGGTCCTGTCACTTGCTAGTAGCGAAGACAGTGGCACCAACTGGTGAGAGCTAAAGTGGTAGGAGTACTATCGCATTTGCACTCATCAAGATGGCGCCACTGTAGAGTAAGGTCCTGTCAGTCGCCAGGGGTGCCAACTGTTAAGTATAAAAACGATAGCCCTCATTATTGGGTCCCACCTAAGGCATTACATTTTTTCAAGGTTTAAACAGAAATACATATTTAGACATTTTTACTCTTTTCTTATCAATGATGAAATACAAATAACAAAACATTCAGAAATTGATTTAAATCATACATGATTGAGCAAAAATACACATTGCTAATCTTTTTTAAATTTAGGTATGATCTTATCTTTAGTTTATGTCATCTTTGTTTAAATTATAAACTTTATTTCATAATATTTGCTCATCTCCCTGACATTTTATGACCTATTGCAAAAAACTCAAGCTTAATCCCTACTTATTATTATGAATGCAAAAGTAACATCTGTCTGTTACACTCTGACACTTAAACCGTTGAACAGATTTTGATGCAATTTGGTATAGACAGTTTGTGTCATGGGAAAGGACATAGGATAGTTTTTATCCTAGTTTTTTATACAGGGACATGGGCGATAAAGTTTTTCTGTGACAGACAAAATTTCATACAGACGAAGCCACAAATTAGTTTATTAAACAGAGTATTTGGGTAATAATTAGAGATGAAACGGATAGTTGTTTGGCCGGATACCGGATACCGGATATCCGGCGAGCTGCTAGGCCGGATAGCCGGATATCCGGCGGCCGGATAGTTGTCCCATTGTCATGTTGCATGTCGTAACGAGTTTAGCGCCACACAGGTGCTTCGAACGCGATTAGTGGGTCTAGTAGACTAGACAAGTCACACTTTTCAAAAATCGAATTCGTTCGAATAGAAAGTCAGATTTTGCCACTCGTCTACGGGGCAGATCAATTCGGGCGATTTCGGTTGCCATCGTGAGTATGTGATTGAATAGCGAAAATTCAATTAGTTTACTTGCTGCATAATCTGACTGAACTGCATTATACAGGGTGACTTTTAAATCGTTGGCATTCTTTTTAAAATAAGACTTTACTCATGATTCCCCAAATATGAGTCATATCAAATGAATTAAAATTTCAATATTTGAAATCTTGTACAGACGACAGCACATCAATCTTCATTCTGTGGCATCTTATTTAATGTATAGGATGATGTGCTGTTGACTATACAATACTTAGTTTTAAACTCTTTAAGAGCACTCTAATACAAATACATAGTTTATTTTTATTTATTTAATTTTATTTATTAGGACAACCAACAAGACAAACACGCATACATGGAATCAGTGTTGCCAACAGCTACCAAAGGCTCGTAGCTAGGAATTTAACAGAAAGTTGCTAGATTGGGTATTTTTTTCTCTCTAAAAAGTAGCTAGAAGTAGCTGAATTCCGAAGTAAATAAAATACTAAAGAAATAAAACACTGCAGTTAATAAATCAGCTATAAACTTTAATAAATTTAACTTTAATACTGTGACTACTTAATAACAAATAAAAGAAGACAATGTTTTGATTATCTACCGAATATTATAATTATCGAATTATGTACAAGAAGATGTAGAAGGTTCAGCTGCACTACATGATTTGGAATCTTTTTCCATAGTACCCATTTTGTCTTATTAGTTTAGGGGAATCCCCACCCCCAGGCCAAAATCACTCAAACGAGGGAATCCCCAAAGTTATTCCGCACCGATTTAAGTGAGTCGTATCGTATATTGCTAAAACAAATTTTGTTTGTCGGGGATGCCGCGTGCCGTTACCATAACTTTGTAAAAATATATCATAATCAATAGTTGCTAGAAAAAGTAGCTAAAAAGTTTAGCTACAAGGTAAAAAAGATTGTAGCTGCCTGACATCAAAAAGTTGCTAAATCTAGCTATAAAGTAGCTAAGTTGGCAACACTGCATGGAATTACTATAGCTAGAAGTGCTTAGAACTAAGTAGTTAAAATAGTGACAAAAAATATCATTGGACAAATCCAATATCCAATTTCCCAAATATGAGACAAATCTCATATTTGGGGAATGCGCTATGTTTTATGAGTAGTCTTATATTAAAAGGATGCCAACGATTTCAAAGTCACCCTGTATGTCATCAGACCATCAGTGAAAAAAAGATCGCCTATTTTATTTGGCAATATTTCGACATTAAAATATGTTTACTATTTATGTATTCGTCATTAGAGTGGATAGCCCAGAAAGGAAATTAGTTTTTTGAAAGGCCTTAATATGGCTTTTTGTAACTTTTTAGACATTAGATAAAAACCGTCATTATTATAAGCCATTTTATGGATATTTAACTCAAATATGAATGTGTTTCATTTTATTATAGGAAATTTTCGTTGTTTTTTAATATCCGGTATCCGGCCGGATAGTGAGCTACTATCCGGTATCCGGCCGGATAGTAAATTTAGGCCGGATATCCGGCCTACCGGATAGTTGCCGGATATCCGTTTCATCTCTAGTAATAATGTTGTCTGCGACCCTCAGATCCAGATGAATGTGTGTTGTGCGTTATTTTTTCAGTAATAAAGTATTGTACGATAGAATTTGTATTTGTGTACTTATGTTCGAGGAATATTTTGTACCATATTATATTGCAACAGCTTCATTTACATGATTGATAAATAGAACATTGATTTATTACAACTCCTCTTTGATCAACATAATAAATTGGAGATGGGACGTCTTCAAATATCAAAATATTCTATTGGCAATGCATTTCAACAAAATTTTCGAACATAATCCTAGCAATTACTTTGAAAACTTGAAGAATACAACGTGGTGCATGTTGTGATAGTCAAAAGTAATAAACATTAACTTATATTATTAATGAGTCGAACAATTTGCTAATAGCTGGCAACGTTGTATGCATTTTGTCCATTATTATTTACTGTTATTATGATAAAATTGGGTAATAAGTGTCGATTGCACAACAGTACAGCTATAACACCAATATTGGACCATTCAGAGAACGTAGGAGCTTAGAAAATCTACTAACACAGAAATAACCTCAAACAATTTGCAATTGATCGCTTACGCAATGTTGCTACAATGTCATGTGTTATCTAAATTACTCATCTTACAAACTATTTCAAGTTTATTACTGTGTAAACATGAAAAACTTTATCAAAAACATCGCTAAATACGGTTGTACTGCGAGTCTCATTTTCCCGCCATCGTGGTTTGACAGGTCATTGACGTCGGACAAAAATGTAAAGAAAACAACTGAGAAATCAACATTTTAGGCACTCACCTCCACGTTTCTTCTTGTTTTTTGGAGCTGTAGACGACGTGGCGGCCGACAATTTGGAACTTGTCCGTTTAACACCTCTTGCCGCCGGCATTATGCCTGCAATATTGCAATGGACGCGTCAATAACACCACAGCGCAGAGCGCGGCAAACGATCACAAACGGATGGCTTCACAGCGATGACGTTTTCACTGAATACTTTTAATCGCGTTAACGTTGTATTCCAACATTGACTGCATCTGCATCAATTACAAGGCTACGGCCTTATAGATTTATGCAAAGCGCAGTTAGGTTATATTATGCATTTATAGAGCACTACACAAGAGATACAAACAACGGTCACGCTGCACGCAATAAACGAGTCACTGCCCTACGACTGGTCTACTTACTTTTATAATTGTTATTGCAATTTGCAAATAAAATGCAATATTTAGGTATTAGAACCAGAGATGACGTACATTTAGATTCTGAGTACAAATCTCGCACATCTCCCGTCACTCGCTCCGCTTCACTTCGCTTGGCCAGCGATTTAGTGATGTGATCGCAAATTAAATCGATTCATTGTCAAATAAATAGTTTATTGTGACAAAAACATTTAAATAAGTACAATTACAGCACAAAAGAACTTAAAATTACTCACTTAATTTTAAACTCTACTTATTATAATAAACATTATGCTATTCACTAAATAAATAAATAAAAGTAATTGATACTAGTAAGTAAAGAAACCAAAAGTGTTGTCAAAATTAATGTTAATTTATAATAATGGATTTAATAAAAAAAATAATTTAATGTTATTTTACAAAAATATTCCGACAGCAGTTAATTTTAATGTTCAATTACTTACAGGAAATTTCAATTGAATTTTGAATAGTGGACATCACTATGACCATAGACAGCGGAGATATTATTGCCTAGTGGTGATACCACACTAAAATCAAATTTCCTACCTAAGAATTGCTTTTTACTTCAAAAATATATTGGAGCCTGTTTAAATAGGCAAGTCTATTTCTTAACATTATACATCTCTCTTTTCGATTATCATCTCTCTCTCATTAATAGAGTCATTAGCATAGAGATACGGAATATAAAAAATTAAACCCTCAATCCATTTAGTTCAGTATTTATTAATTGTCCATTTATTCAAATAAAAATCTTGTTTACGAGCCAACTATGCTATCAAAGCTTAAAAGTTAAAAGTACCCCAATTTTATGGGTAATTTTTTTAAGTCAAACTACCCAAAAGCGTGGCTAGCGACCTCTGCCGAGGTCATAGTATATTAAAATGACATAGGAAGATTATTATTGTCTATGGGCACATAAACAAATCAAATGCAATGGAAGATCACCTTATGAGTAACAGGTTAAGATAAAGAGTGCATTAAAAATAATTGTTTACATTAAATACAATTTCTATGTCAATTCAAATTATTCTAAACATAAAAAACTGCAAACAATCCTCCTTCCTTATCATACACATAGCGACATCTATAACTAAAGAACGTACCTTCTTGTTTGCTCTTTCGTAGAACTACATGGGTGTAACATAGATGTCGCTACTTCTCGCAGTAATCATTTACTTACCCATTCTTCGTGGTGAATGACGATACGAAATTATTCTAAAAGGATAGGATTTTTTAGAAAAGAAAGATTTTGCCGTACCTCCTTATCTAAAAGGGATGCGGGGCGGGCGGCGCGGAACCGGTCGTTGTTGAAATCCTTGGTACATGCCTTTGTCCAGCAGTGGACATCATTTGGTGAAACAAAACTCATCAAATTTTTACAAATATATTTTCATTACAACTTCGCGTAGGGACCAAAATCATTTCCAGGTGTTAGCAACTCTCCTATTTCTCTATGCAGGGATTCAGGGAAAGGTGGAAAGCTTTGGAAGATTGATTTTTAAGCGTTACGAATTATATTTTATTCAGAACATCAGTATCAGTCAGTATCAGTCTCTTTTACATCTCTAAAAACACTAGAATTTTCTTTTCAGTGTGTAAATGGTTGGTCTATCTATGCTATGCTAATTTTAATTTTCCATTTTTTTATTCGATGCTCTGCCCATCATGTAATTTTATCATAAATGTAAATTCATTATTTTATCAACGGAGAGCCTCCCTAGGTCGGTACTTAGGCACCTACGTGTGCCTTCAAAGAAAAACCTACCTACTAAAACTAAATAAGTTACTTTACTTGGTAACTAAAATTAAAAAGTAAGGGTTCCAGAGGAAGAAATTCTTTGTCTTTTTTGCGACACGTTAGTAGAAATGTTTTGGAAACCATTTACCTATTAATTTAAATTTCCTCAAAAAACTGTAAAAGTGACTTTTCGGAATTTCCAAGTCCTGACGAAATTAACATATTTAAACAGCCAATATGTATGTAAATTTCAAAATTACGGGCTTTGGAATAGGGATGGTTCCATTTGAGTACCTTGCTGTACCAGCTTACTCCAATAATTTGTTTTTGGTCTACGTCATAAATATTAATGTTGGGTTTTTTTCTCGGTATAAAATACCCAGTCAGTCTTTTAGTAAGTACAGTTCTGTACCACTTAAATTCTGTTATCTGGAGAATAAATTCTACATCGTGGTTTAGTTCCTAAAGCGAGTTCGACTTTTGACTCCAGAACGTTTTAGGTTCCATTTCTAGATATTACCACGCAAAAAACTGACAAAAGAAATAAAAACTTGTTACGGCTTATATAGGAGGAGAGCTGTAGAAAACAAACAGGTTACTTAGTTTCCAGATTGGATAGTAATTTGTAGCCCAGATTTTCTGAAAATAGATTAGGTATAAGTCAGTATTTTCTGGGTATGGTAAACTGCGCAATTTGACATCTGGTGACTCTTTAAAGTTTGCGAGATCCTAGTTCTTAGAGCGCTACTTTTAAAGGAGAAGAAAAATTAGCCTCTTTTGTGGCTTATGACATTCATTTCATAAACACCTCATAGACGAGGCTGTTTCTGCCGCCACTTCACCAGCCCATAAGTTGTCCCAAGTAGGTACTGGTAGGTAGGGCAAGCAGTAAGAAGCAAGAATTTGATAGAATCGATCGGGACAAGCAACTTTCTAATCCCATTTAAAGAGAAATACGATCTAAACGATCTTTAACAATATAGTACTGAAGTTATATTTTATAAATAAATAATAAAATAATATAATAAACTCTTTTCCCGAATTTTCTTTGCTATAAACCTTACGGAGCCCGAGACCTTTCCAACGAATGCAAAACAGTGGAAATCGGTTCGTGCGTTCTGGAGTTATAGCGTCAGGGAGGAAAACCCGACTTATTTTTATATAGTAGAGATAATAAAAATCTTTATTTTTTCTCCACAATCTAACTGACACAAAAGTATTACAATAAAAATAGTACATCATGTATGTATAATAGATTGTGAGAGACTGGTGTCTGAGCTAGGCGAGGAGCCTGTGTTACAGAGACCAGTACTCTCATCTCTAGGGGGATCCGTTTGTACATACAATGTTAGAAACACGCAAAAAGTCTACAAAATTGGAGATAATAAGTTACGAATTACAATATTTCTGTTGCATCGATGTTCTTTCTCAACCAAAACACCACGGCTGGATAAAGGCCTCCCCCAAGGATTTCCATACCGGTCCTGCGTTGCCCGCATCCAGGTTCTTCCCGCGACCTTCACCAGACCGATGGTCTACAAAGTGAGAGGCTAAACAATGTTACCAAAATGTAATCCTTAATCTAGTTCTAGTTATAATTCCTATGTAGGTAGGCCTAAATGGGGCAGCAAGGTTCTGGAGTGGAGGCCGAGTACCGGAAAACGCAGCGTGGGACGTCCACCAACAAGGTGGACTGACGACATCATAAAGGTAGCAGGTAAGGCGCTGGACGCAGGCCGCTACCAATCGATCAACATGGAAATTATTGGGGGAGGCTTATGTTCAGTAGTGGACGTCCTATGGCTGAGATGATGATGATGATGATGATAGGCCTAAATACAATCCTGCTTAAAAGTTATTTAAGTAATCCGGTACCTAATTAAAATTTAATGTGAGTGAACGTACCTAAGTATGTAGTATCAATCTACATATTTTACCAACTCTCTACTTTAGTACTAATTCCTAACAGCATTTTTTCTGTGCCTGTGTCGAAGCCTACCCTTGCTCATCCCACAAAAATGACTCTTAACAAAAGGGGCGGGGTCTAGAACGGTCGTGGACAAGCCCCGCCCCCCGCGAAAGCCTTCTCTATCGACATCCCGCTCGCACGCCTGTCTCTTTCTAGCGTAGAGTCAATGACATCCAAAGTCGCGGTTCATTTTCTTTGATTGATATTTTATAATGTTTATTTTATTTTAATTACAGATTTTTTTATTAATGATGTGTAAGCTACGAGTATTTAGGTTGGTTATTGTCTGGTCGACTTATTAATTACTGAATAATGTGCTTAATGTTTTTTTTAAAAGACTTTAATTTTTTATGAAAGTGCAATTGAATGTCAATTTGCGATAAATTGGTAAAATAATTCATGAAAAGAAACAGAGTCCCCTTTATTTAATTTGATAATTATTACATTCATCAAACGAGCGAAGTTTATAACATAATGTAGTTTACTATAGGTAAAGACAATAATTATAGATTTTCTGTGCGATTTTTTTTCCGTAAGAACCTGCAACAAAGTTATAGAAAATTTTAAAATAAAATAAATGTAATAATCGGTTGAATCATTCTCAAGTTAATTAACGTGACCAAGGGAAACAAGAATTCATTTTTGTAATGAACTTAAAAACTAATTAACTTATAAACCATCTTTAATCTNAAAATTCCACGCAGGTGAAGCTGCAGGCGGAAAGCTAGTATTTTATAAATATTTCTAGTGCATCGACATTCCTTCTCAACCAAATGACGACTGCTGGACAAAGGCCTCCCCCAAGGATTTCCATATCGAACGGTCCTGCGTTGCCCGCATCCAGGTGCTTCCTGCGACCTTAACCAGAGCGTCGGTCCATTGAGTGGGAGGCCATAGTACTTATAACAATGTAACCATTTAAGTATGTTATCCTTAGGCTGAGTTGCACCACCTAACTTTAACCGTAACTATAACGATAACCGGCGTATTTTGTATGGAGTTTGACAGATTTTTGACGTTGGTTAAAGTCAAAGTAAGATGGTGCAACCCAGCCTTAATCTAGTTCTACTTAGTTATTATTCCTATGTAGGTAGGCCTAAATACAATCCTGTTTAATTTTAAGATAGGTAATTGATCCGGTACCTAATTTAAATTAAATGTGATACTTAGGTAAGTTCGTTCGTTCGTTCGTGTCAGCCAAATGACGTCCACTGCTGGACAAAGGCCTCCCCCAAGGTTTTCCACAATGAACGGTCCTGCGCTGCCCGCATCCAGGCTCTTCCCGTGACCTTTGACCACTTGACTTTAGCAATTCTGCGTGCTATGTCGGTTACTTTGGTTTTCCTGCGGATCTCCTCATTTCTGATTCGATCACGTAGGGAAACTCCGAGCATAGCCCGCTCCAT